ACCCCAGCTTACCAAGCCTCGCCAACCCCAGCTTACCAAGCCTCGCCAACCCCAGCTTACCAAGCCCCGCCAACCTCAGCTTACTAGGCCTCGCCAACCCCAGCTTACTAAGCCCCGCCAACCCCAGCTTACTAAGCCCCGCCAACCCCAGCTTACTAAGCCTCGCCAACCCCAGCTTACTAAGCCTCGCCAACCCCAGCTTACTAAGCCTCGCCAACCCCAGCTTACTAAGCCTCGCCAACTCCAGCTTACTAAGCCTCGCCAACCCTAGCTTACTAAGCCTCGCCAACCCCAGCTTACTAAGCCTCGCCAACCCCAGCTTACTAAGCCTCGCAAACTCCAGCTTACTAAGCCTCGCCAACCCCAGCTTACTAAGCCTCGCCAACTCCAGCTTACTAAGCCTCGCCAACCCCAGCTTACTAAGCCTCGCCAACCCCAGCTTACTAAGCCTCGCCAACCCCAGCTTACTAAGCCTCGCCAACCCCAGCTTACTAAGCCTCGCCAACCCCAGCTTACTTAGCCTCGCCAACCCCAGCTTACTTAGCTTCGCCAACCCCAGCTTACTAAGCCTCGCCAACCCCAGCTTACTAAGCCTCGCCAACCCCAGCTTACTAAGCCTCGCCAACCCCAGCTTACTAAGCCTCGCCAACCCCAGCTTACTAAGCCTCGCCAACCCCAGCTTACTAAGCCTCGCCAACCCCAGCTTACTAAGCCTCGCCAACCCCAGCTTACTAAGCCTCGCCAACCCCAGCTTACTAAGCCTCGCCAACCCAGCAAAACCTGATCTCGGAACAAACGAATGTTATTGAAACCAATCTAAGCTAATAGTCCTTATCTAATGTAGCTAAACTCTTAACAATATAATCAAAGTTGAAGAGGATCCCGAAACACTGAAGGGAGGTACTGTAAGGTACTACACCCAAGCCCCCCTCCCACCGTCTACACCCAGGCCCCCCTCCCACCGTCTACACCCAGGCCCCCCTCCCAGCGTCTACACCCAGGCCCCCCTCCCAGCGTCTACACCCTGGGCCCCCCCCCCCTCCCACCGTCTACACCCAGGCCCCCCTCCCACCGTCTACACCCTGGCCCCCCCCCTCCCACCGTCTACACCCAGGCCCCCCCCCTCCCACCGTCTACACCCAAGCCCCCCTCCCACCGTCTACACCCAAGCCCCCCCCCTCCCACCGTCTACACCCAGGCCCCCCCTCCCACCGTCTACACCCAGGCCCCCCCCTCCCACCGTCTACACCCAAGCCCCCCTCCCACCGTCTACACCCAGGCCCCCCCTCCCACCGTCTACACCCAGGCCCCCCCTCCCACCGTCTACACCCTGGCCCCCCTCCCACCGTCTACGCCCAGGCCCCCCCTCCCACCGTCTACACCCAGGCCCCCCCTCCCACCGTCTACACCCAGGCCCCCCCTCCCACCGTCTACATCCAGGCCCCCCCCTCCCACCGTCTACATCCAGGCCCCCCCTCCCACCGTCTACACCCAGGCCCCCCTCCCACCGTCTACACCCAGGCCCCCCCTCCCACCGTCTACACCCAGGCCACCCCTCCCACCGTCTACATCCAGGCCCCCCCTCCCACCGTCTACACCAGGCCCCCATCCCACCGTCTACACCCAGGCCCCCCCCTCCCACCGTCTACATCCAGCCCACCCCCTCCCACCGTCTACACCCAGGCCCCCCTCCCACCGTCTACACCCAGGCCCCCCTCCCACCGTCTACACCCAGGCCCCCCCTCCCACCGTCTACACCCAGGCCCCCCTCCCAGCGTCTACACCCAGGTCCCCCTCCCAGCGTCTACACCCAGGTCCCCCTCCTAGCGTCTACACCCAGGCCCCCCTCCCAGCGTCTACACCCAGGCCCCCCTCCCACCGTCTACACCCAGGCCACCCCTCCCACCGTCTACACCCAGGCCCCCTCTCCCACCGTCTACACCCAAGCCCCCCTCCCACCGTCTACACCCAGGCCCCCCCTCCCACCGTCTACACCCAGGCCACCCCTCCCACCGTCTACATCCAGGCCCCCCCTCCCACCGTCTACACCCAGGCCCCCATCCCACCGTCTACACCCAGGCCCCCCCTCCCACCGTCTACATCCAGCCCCCCCCCTCCCACCGTCTACACCCAGGCCCCCCTCCCACCGTCTACACCCAGGCCCCCCTCCCAGCGTCTACACCCAGGCCCCCCCTCCCACCGTCTACACCCAGGCCCCCCCTCCCACCCTCTACACCCAGGCCCCCCTCCCAGCGTCTACACCCAGGCCCCCCCTCCCACCGTCTACACCCAGGCCCCCCCTCCCACCGTCTACACCCAGGCTCCCCTCCAACCGTCTACACCCAGGCCCCCCTCCCACCGTCTACACCTAGGCTCCCCTCCCACCGTCTACACCCAGGCTCCCCTCCCACCGTCTACACCCAGGCTGCCCTCCCACCGTCTACACCCAGGCCCCCCCTCCCACCGTCTACACCCAGGCCACCCCTCCCACCGTCTACATCCAGGCCCCCCTCCCACCGTCTACACCCAGGCCTCCATCCCACCGTCTACACCCAGGCCCCCCCCTCCCACCGTCTACATCCAGCCCCCCCTCCCACCGTCTACACCAGCCCCCCCCCCCTCCCACCGTCTACACCCAGGCCCCCTCCCACCGTCTACACCCAGGCCCCCCCTCCCACCGTCTACACCCAGGCCCCCCCTCCCACCGTCTACACCCAGGCCCCCCCTCCCACCGTCTACACCCAGGCCCCCCTCCCAGCGTCTACACCCAGGTCCCCCTCCCAGCGTCTACACCCAGGTCCCCCTCCCAGCGTCTACACCCAGGCCCCCCTCCCAGCGTCTACACCCAGGCCCCCCTCCCAGCGTCTACACCCAGGTCCCCCTCCCACCGTCTACACCCAGGCCCCCCTCCCAGCGTCTACACCCAGGCCCCCCTCCCACCGTCTACACCCAGGCCACCCCTCCCACCGTCTACACCCAGGCCCCCTCTCCCACCGTCTACACCCAAGCCCCCCTCCCACCGTCTACACCCAGGCCCCCCCTCCCACCGTCTACACCCAGGCCCCCCCTCCCACCGTCTACACCCATGCCCCCCCCACCGTCTACACCCTGGCCCCCATCCCACCGTCTACACCCAGGCCCCCCCTCCCACCGTCTACATCCAGCCCCCCCCCTCCCACCGTCTACACCCAGGCCCCCCTCCCACCGTCTACACCCAGGCCCCCCTCCCAGCGTCTACACCCAGGCCCCCCCTCCCACCGTCTACACCCAGGCCCCCCCTCCCACCGTCTACACCCAGGCCCCCCTCCCAGCGTCTACACCCAGGCCCCCCCTCCCACCGTCTACACCCAGGCCCCCCCTCCCACCGTCTACACCCAGGCTCCCCTCCAACCGTCTACACCCAGGCCCCCCTCCCACCGTCTACACCTAGGCTCCCCTCCCACCGTCTACACCCAGGCTCCCCTCCCACCGTCTACACCCAGGCTGCCCTCCCACCGTCTACACCCAGGCCCCCCCTCCCACCGTCTACACCCAGGCCACCCCTCCCACCGTCTACATCCAGGCCCCCCCTCCCACCGTCTACACCCAGGCCTCCATCCCACCGTCTACACCCAGGCCCCCCCTCCCACCGTCTACATCCAGCCCCCCCCCTCCCACCGTCTACACCCAGGCCCCCCTCCCACCGTCTACACCCAGGCCCCCCCTCCCACCGTCTACACCCAGGCCCCCCTCCCACCGTCTACACCCAGGCCCCCCCTCCCACCGTCTACACCCAGGCCCCCCTCCCAGCGTCTACACCCAGGTCCCCCTCCCAGCGTCTACACCCAGGTCCCCCTCCCAGCGTCTACACCCAGGCCCCCCTCCCAGCGTCTACACCCAGGCCCCCCTCCCAGCGTCTACACCCAGGTCCCCCTCCCACCGTCTACACCCAGGCCCCCCTCCCAGCGTCTACACCCAGGCCCCCCTCCCACCGTCTACACCCAGGCCACCCCTCCCACCGTCTACACCCAGGCCCCCTCTCCCACCGTCTACACCCAAGCCCCCCTCCCACCGTCTACACCCAGGCCCTCCCTCCCACCGTCTACACCCAGGCCCCCCCTCCCACCGTCTACACCCATGCCCCCCCCACCGTCTACACCCTGGCCCCCCTCCCACCGTCTACACCCAGGCTGCCCTCCCACCGTCTACACCCAGGCCCCCCTCCCAGCGTTTACACCCAGGCCCCCCCTCCCAGCGTTTACACCCAGGCCCCCCTCCCACCGTCTTGACCACAAATCGTGTAACAGACACGTTTCTTGTGTTGTCTCACCTCCACGGGGTCGACTAACCTCCGCGGGGTCGACTAACCTCCGCGGGGTCGACTAACCTCCGCGGGGTCGACTAACCTCCGCGGGGTCGACTAACCTCCGCGGGGTCGACTAACCTCCACGGGGTCGACTAACCTCCACGGGGTCGACTAACCTCCACGGGGTCGACTAACCTCCACGGGGTCGACTCACCTCCACGGGGTCGACTCACCCCCACGGGGTCGACTCACCTCCACGGGGTCGACTCACCTCCACGGGGTCGACTCACCTCCGTGGGGTCGACTCACCTCCGCGGGGTCGACTAACCTCCGCGGGGTCGACTCACCTCCACGGGGTCGACTCACCCCCACGGGGTCGACTCACCTCCACGGGGTCGACTCACCTCCACGGGGTCGACTCACCTCCGCGGGGTCGACTCACCTCCGCGGGGTCGACTCACCTCCGCGGGGTCGACTAACCTCCGCGGGGTCGACTCACCCCCACGGGGTCGACTCACCTCCACGGGGTCCACTCACCTCCACGGGGTCGACTCACCTCCACGGGGTCGACTAACCTCCGCGGGGTCGACTAACCTCCGCGGGGTCGACTCCGACACTCGGCCTCATAAAGAAGGCTCTCAATTGGTCATAATTAAATGACCAAATTTTATAAATGTCTCCCATCCGTCATCGTTATGTTGGGCCGCCTTTCATATTATCTGGGAGGTGGCTTGCTGGGAGGTGGCTTGCTGGGAGGTGGCTTGCTGGGAGGTGGCTTGCTGGGAGGTGGCTTGCTGGGAGGTGGCTTGCTGGGAGGTGGCTTGCTGGGAGGTGGCTTGCTGGGAGGTGGCTTGCTAGGAGGTGGCTTGCTGGGAGGTGGCTTGCTGGGTGGTAGCTTGCTGGGTGGTGGCTCGCTGGGAGGTGGCTCGCTGGGAGAGGGCTCGCTGGGAGAGGGCTTGCTGGGTAGTGGCTTGCTGGGAGGTGGCTCGCTGGGAGGTGGATTGCTGGGAAGGGGGTTGTCTGGAAGCACATCATCCACTGAACTGTTGTGGTGGGAGCTGTTGTGGAAGAAGCGGTCATGCGAAGAAAAATTGTTGGGCAGTGTCCTTTGTCTTTCGTCTGAACACACATTAGCTGAAGACACATGAACTGAACACATGTGTCCGCCTGTGATACAGGTAAACACAATAATGCAGGAGAATGTATAAGGTATTTGTCTCTAAAACAACAAGGAATTTGTCTAAGAAAAAAAATGCACCGACCTGTTTTAGGCTCCATGTTATGTGTGGTTTTCTTGCTTTGAGTGTGTGTGTGTGTGTGTGTGTGTGTGTGTGTGTGTGTGTGTGTGTGTGTGTGTGTGTGTTACGCTTGCCCTCTTTTATGGACCATGGTTCGAAACCCCCTTCTCTGGCTCGTCTCACGGCTACACAGGGCTATATATCGGCTCTGTTGATATCCTGCCACGTAATGGAATTCCCATATGTCTAAGTTACGGTCATATGGTACAGCAGCCTCGGTACAGTAACCACGGTACAGCAGCCTCGGTACAGTAACCACGGTACAGCAGCCTCGGTACAGTAACCACGGTACAGCAGCCTCGGTACAGTAACCACGGTACAGCAGCCTCGGTACAGTAACCACGGTACAGCAGCCTCGGTACAGTAACCACGGTACAGCAGCCTCGGTACAGTAACCACGGTACAGCAGCCTCGGTACAGTAACCACGGTACAGCAGCCTCGGTACAGTAACCACGGTACAGTAACCACGGTACAGTAACCACGGTACAGCAGCCTCGGTACAGTAACCACGGTACAGCAGCCTCGGTACAGTAACCACGGTACAGCAGCCTCGGTACAGTAACCACGGTACAGCAGCCTCGGTACAGTAACCACGGTACAGCAGCCTCGGTACAGTAACCACGGTACAGCAGCCTCGGTACAGTAACCACGGTACAGCAGCCTCGGTACAGTAACCACGGTACAGCAGCCTCGGTACAGTAACACGCTCCGTCTCAATACTCTTCACAGACTAAAATGTCGTGTATGGCTTCTGGCGGCTCCTTGTAGTCCCGTCTTTCTGTAGTTGTTGTAGCGGTAGTGGTTATGAACACTGGTTGTGAACACTGGGGTGATGAACATTGTGGCTGTGAACTCTGGGGTGATGAACATTGTGGCTGTGAACAATATGGCTGTGAGCAATAAACCAGCCCGTCCACATAAACAGAGACCCAAAGTACATTCAACTCGCCCGCCAACCCAACCTGTCCTCGACTCAAGTCCAATCCATCTAGCGGTCGACCCCACAGACGCATTCATAAATTTCAACATGCTGTTCATTCAAAAAGGGAATTTTCGCAAATATAAATTGCTATTATAATAGCATATTGTGCATATATAGGGATAGGTTTGGTGTTTAGGTTCTGTTGACGATTATTTGTAGTACGTGGGTGAAGCATTTACAGCGTTGTGATTCAAACAAAATTCGTCAGTAAAGCAGTTGTTCCGGAAGTATTCGAACGTCAGCAGTTGTGAGTCGTGCAGCCCGTCCCCTATCAAAGTCCCAAAAGTGATTCCATGCACCCGCCAAACCCCCTGTTTATGAATGAAAAGCGGTTTACACACGACTCACAACTGCTGACGTTCGAACATATCCGGAACAAGTGCTTCACTGACGAATTTTGTTCGAATCACAACGCTATAAATGCTTCACCCACGTACTACAAATAATCGTCAACAGAACCTAAACACCTAACCTATCCTATGCCTATATATACACAATATGCTAATATATTATAATATTAATTTATACCGAAGAAAATTCCCGTTTTGAATGAACAGCATGTTAAAATTTATGAATGCGTCTGTGGGGTTGACCGCTGAATGTAATGGACTTGAGTCGAGGACGGGTTGGAACTACAACGCTGTAAATGCTTCAACTATGTACTACAAATGCAAATAATGGTTACGAATAATATGTTACAAATAATAGAGCTACAAACAATATGGTTACGAAGAATAGGGCTCATAATTTCACGTTACTTGTGGTGTCAACATAGTGCTCGCTTCCCCCCTTTAGGAGCAGAAGTCATTGCTATAGTAGTGGGCACACAGAGAACATGTACGGCTCGCAAAGACACCATACACAGCCCCTAAACTATTGCAACCGTTGCAAGGCTCTCAACTTGTACATTCTAGAAAGGAGACGAGAGAGGCATTACCTACAAGTGGCTAGAGGCACCATAGACACATGACGAGCTTGGCCCCGGGCCGGGCTTGGGGAGTAGAAGAACCTCCAGAACCTCATCAACCAGGTACAATCAGAGAGCTGAACATCGAGGGTCCTCGGCTGTTCAATACTCTCCCAGGAAACATAAGAAGTATTGCCGGAACAAAAGTGGATTTCTTCAAGATAAAATTAGATAAGAAGTGTTGGACCAACCGGGTTGTAGTGGACATGTGGGCTTACTACCCCCGCTTCAAACAACAGTCTGATGGACCAAGTGATCACAAATCAATTGCCTACTGGCCGGATTTGAGGAGTAGAAGAACCGGAGTGAACTGTAAGGGAATCTATCCTGATTATCACTATCACTAATTTTTATCACTATCCACCTCCGGAAGAGTGAGCGTGACGCCCTCGCCAGCGTGTACTGGGCAATGACCAGGAAGTGAAGTGAGTGATATCAACGTAACATCAACGTAACATCAACGCAAGGTAAGTGTGTGTGGCGTTGACGTAGGGTTACTCTGAGGTTACTTTGATTTGCTTCCGATAATACATGTCCCCGCGGCCCGGTCTCTGAGCAGGTGTCCTGGTTGCCGGTCTGATCAACCAGGCTGTTGGATACTACTACACGCAGCCTGACGGAGGAAATACGTCAAGGCGTTTATCACGTTCCGTCTTGAACGCCGAAACAGGTTGGCTAATTATGAACGAGGGTGTTGACAAGTCTTGGGTCGTTAATGTTTATATAATTATTTCTTAACGAACCTATTGCACCTCTACTTTCCAAGGGGGATAATTTAACATATCTTGTAATGTCTCCTGGCCTCGTCAGGAACTGTTGTAGATTTGCAACTATTCCTTGTAGATTTAGCCTTCAATATCAAGTTACCACAAGTCAAGCCTGGCCCCGGGCCGGGCTGGAGGAGTAGAAGAACTCTCAGAACCCCATCCAGGTACAATCCAGGTATGACTGGTAATGTGCTTCCTTCACTCCGAGCTTGTAGTGTTTACACTCCCTAGATCAACATGACCATAACACCTTACCTCACCTTATGTAGGCCTACCTATACATAACCTCACATTATATATAACGACATCAATAAGTATTTTAGGATAAAGCGACATATATATTATATAACTTATATATTACAACTTATCAATGGTTGATTTTGCTAGTTGGTTATCAACTGTTTAGGTAAAAAAAAAAACTGATGTATTCAAATCTACGTACATCAGTACTTGGCTGCAGGAAGTGTGCTCAAGTGAGCCAGAGCCCCAGCTGTGAATGGGGCTGTTAGTGGGTAACAATGCGCCACCTAGTCAGCGGTGTAGCGTTTACTTCTTTCAAATCTAACCGTTTAGGGCCGCTAATGGTACGGTAACACGTTTCAACGTGAAATACACGTCACGTCATTAAAGACTCGAACCCCTGACCCGCTTCAGAGGCCCAGAGACAACCGCCCGTCCTTGATGGGGATCCATTGTTGTCCAGTACTATACCACTGTGGGGAGTGTTGCAGGGAGGGGTGGGTGGGTGGGTGAGTACTGTAGGGAGGGGTGGGTGGGTGTATTGTAGAGGGAATGGGTGTTTTGTTGGGAGTAGATGTGTGTATTGTATGGAGGGGTGGATGTATTGAAGGGTGGGAGGTGTATGGTGGGTGGGCTCGTGGAAGGGTGGTGGTGGGCTCGTGGAAGGGTGGTGGGGGGCTCGTGGAAAGGTGGTGGGGGGCTCGTGGAAGGGTGGAGGTGGGCTCGTGGAAGGGTGGAGGTGGGCTCGTGGAAGGGTGGAGGTGGGCTCGTGGAAGGGATGGCAGGGATGCGGTGGGTCTCTGTGGAATGCCGATAAAGGAATTGGAAGGAGACGTGCGGAGCCTTGATATTGACGAGTGTCCAGCTCTCCTCTGTCTTGATAGTTGCACTCCACAACCCACCAACACCACCAACCCCTCCCCCTCTACCACCACAACCACCAACACCACCACCACCACCTGTCTCTGAACATCAGAGGTCCACAACTGCTCCCACCAAGCATAAGAATTGCTTGGTGTCCTCTAAGACATCAAGCATTTAGTGTCGCTACCACAACTGTCAATGCCAGACGGGCGGGCGAGACATTAAGCAGTTAACACAAGCCACACTCAACTGGTGCACCTGCTGTGTTGCTGGAGTGTCGCAGGGACAGCTGGAGGAGGGGGAGATGAGATAGATATGTATATACCTAACTCTATGGAAGAGTGTTATGTCATTAGAGGAACGCATGGATGAGGTGGAAAGGGAAGGCCAGTAACACAGTAGTGCTTACGGAAAGAATGGGTGAACTAGTGAGCGGCAACTATGCAGGAAGAGGTGGAGAAAAGGACAAGGGGATGAGGGGAGAGATACAGGTGCTGAAAGAAGAGGCAGCTTCTCTTGGTAGGCAGCTTCTTTGGGTAGGCACCTTCTCTGGGAAGGCAGCTTCTCTGGGTGGGCAGCTTCTCTGGATAGGCAGCTTCTCTGGGAAGGCAGCTTCTCTGGGAAGGCAGCTTCTCTGGGAAGGCAGCTTCTCTGGGAAGGCAGCTTCTCTGGGAAGGCAGCTTCTCTGGGTAGGCAGCTTCTCTGGGAAGGCAGCTTCTCTGGGAAGGCAGCTTCTCTGGGAAGGCAGCTTCTCTTGGTAGGCAGCTTTTTTGGGTAGGCAGCTTCTATGGGAAGGCAGTTTCTCTGGGAAGGCAGCTTCTCTGGGAAGGCAGCTTCTCTGGGAAGGCAGCTTCTCTGGGAAGGCAGCTTCTCTGGGAAGGCAGCTTCTCTGGGAAGGCAGCTTCTCTGGGTAGGCAGCTTCTCTGGGTAGGCAGCTTCTCTGGGTAGGCAGCTTCTCTGGGAAGGCAGCTTCTCTGGGAAGGCAGCTTCTCTGGGAAGGCAGCTTCTCTGGGAAGGCAGCTTCTCTGGGAAGGCAGCTTCTCTGGGAAGGCAGCTTCTCTGGGAAGGCAGCTTCTCTGGGAAGGCAGCTTCTCTGGGAAGGCAGCTTCTCTGGGAAGGCAGCTTCTCTGGGAAGGCAGCTTCTCTGGGAAGGCAGCTTCTCTGGGAAGGCAGCTTCTCTGGGTAGGCAGCTTCTCTGGGTAGGCAGCTTCTCTGGATAGGCAGCTTCTCTGGGTAGGCAGCTTCTCTGGGTAGGCAGCTTCTCTGGGTAGGCAGCTTCTCTGGGAAGGCAGCTTCTCTGGGAAGGCAGCTTCTCTGGGAAGGCAGCTTCTCTGGGAAGGCAGCTTCTCTGGGAAGGCAGCTTCTCTGGGAAGGCAGCTTCTCTGGGAAGGCAGCTTCTCTGGGAAGGCAGCTTCTCTGGGAAGGCAGCTTCTCTGGGTAGGCAGCTTCTCTGGGTAGGCAGCTTCTCTGGGTAGGCAGCTTCTCTGGGTAGGCAGCTTCTCTGGGAAGGCAGCTTCTCTGGGAAGGCAGCTTCTCTGGGAAGGCAGCTTCTCTGGGAAGGCAGCTTCTCTGGGTAGGCAGCTTCTCTGGGAAGGCAGCTTCTCTGGGAAGGCAGCTTCTCTGGGAAGGCAGCTTCTCTGGGAAGGCAGCTTCTCTGGGCAAGGCAGCTTCTCTGGGAAGGCAGCTTCTCTGGGAAGGCAGCTTCTCTGGGAAGGCAGCTTCTCTGGGAAGGCAGCTTCTCTGGGTAGGCAGCTTCTCTGGGAAGGCAGCTTCTCTGGGAAGGCAGCTTCTCTGGGAAGGCAGCTTTTAAGAATTACATGAGAAGGTAGACAAAAAAAATGAAATTGCCTACCTTGCGGTTGCCTTGAGAGGATTTCGGGACTAAGCGTCCCCGCGGCCCGGTCGTCGACCAGGCCTCCTGGTTGCTGGACTGGTCAACCAGGCTGTTGGACGCGGCTGCTCGCAGCCTGACGCTTGAATCACAGCCTGGTTGATCAGGTGTCCTTTGGAGGTGCTTATCCAGTTCTCTCTTGAACACTGTGAGGGGTCGGCCAGTTATGCCCCTTATGTGTAGTGGAAGTGTGTTGAACAGTCTCGGGCCTCTGATGTTGATAGTTCTCTCTCAGAGTACCTGTTACACCTCTGCTTTTCAACGGGGGTATTCTGCACATCCTGCCAGACCATGTGGTGTTATTTCTGTGTGCAGGTTTGGGACCAGCCCCTCTACTATTTTCCACGTGTAAATTATTATGTATCTCTCCCGCCTGCGCTCAAGAGAATACAGATTTAGGCATTTTAGTGGGTCCCAATAGTTTAGAGGTTTTGCCGAGTGGTTTCTAGCAGTAGAGGATCTCTGCACGCTCTCTAGGTCAGCAATTTCTCCAGCTTTATAAGGGGCTGTCATTGTGCAACAGTTTTTCACGCTAGAGAGCACTAACGTCTTGAAGAGTATCATCATCGGTATAGCATCTTTAGTGTGAAAGGTTCTTGTTATCCAACTTATTATTTTTCTTGCAGTTGTGACGGCTACTTTATTGTGATCTTTAACGGTAAGGTCTTCCGACACGAGTACATCCAAATCTTTTACATTGCCTTTTCGTTCTATGTTATGATTTGACTGCGTTTCGTATGTGGTTTCTGTTTATATATTTTCATTTTTTCCGTAGCGTAGGAGCTGGAACTTATCTTCATTAAATACCATATTATTTCTGTAGCGCATAGAAAGACCTGATTTACATCTGATTGGAGGTTTGCCGTGTCCTCTATGTTGTGTACTTTGCAGAAAAATGGTTGAATGAAAGAGAAGGTAATTGAGGAAACCATGTTAAAGGGTAAAAAATTACCTAAATTATGAAATATACAAGTCTGGAGATAGAGAGGCCCGTCGAGTCTGGACCCAGGCCGGGCTCGAGTAGTAGAAGTACTCCAGAAACCCTCACCAGGTATGATAGGAAGAGGTCAGTGATAATATTCAACCTACCAGAGCCTGAGGAGGACCACATGGCAAATAAAGAGAGAGAGACCATAATGAAATAACAAAAATGCTACACAAAATTCCGGCTGGAGATGCAACATGGGAAATGGAGCATTTCTGCAGGATAGGCAAATTTCAGAGAGAAAATATCGACCAGTGAAAGTTTTTATTAGCAGTAACCTATTTATGTATAGACTTGCAGAAAAGAGATATTTGAGAAATGAGGAAAAGTACCATGCAGTGTTTATTAGACAGGACATGTTTAAGGAGGAAAGTGGGACAGAAAAAAAGACTCACAAAAGAAAAGCAAAATGGAAATGTAAGAAGTGTAGAAAAGGTCACAAACAGGGCATAGGACAAAGCATATTTGACAACAGAGTAGAACAAAGGCAAATAGTGGGGCAGACGAGCTTCACAATGCAACAGAGAGTACTACAGAGGGAGATAGTAGGGCTGCCTAACCTAACGAAGCATCTACACAAATGAGTAGAAAATAGGAAATTGTTCGTCATTCCCCCCTACCGCTATCAGACACAAAAATGCAGGCATATGAACACGTGCCCCTCGAAAGGGGTGGGGAGGGGGGACAAAAGCAGCCCAATTGTCATGAGTAGCATAAAAGTATTATACACAAATGAAGATGGAATCGCAAATAAAGGAACAAATTTATAGAGTGGCAGAAGTTCACTCTCATACCACAATAACTGAAATTAAACTGGCAAGTGTTATAGAAAACGCAATTTTCCACGAGGTTATCAAGTAATACGGAGAGATTGGGAGTACAGAGAGGGAGGTGATGTAGCTCCGTTGCTACGGCTACACTGTAGCTTCGAAGAAGTCAAACTAGCAGAGGGAGTTGACCAGCATGAGTATATACCAGAAATAGCAACAGTGGGATGCTCGAAGATAGTGGCAGCATTCAGTGATAATTTACCACCAAAAAATAGAGAGCCAAGGTAAGAATATGACAAATTCAATGAGAATCATCTCAAGGTAATGGAAAAGCAGCCACAGATGCAATGGGGAACAAGAGTTAAAACATTTACATTGGGGGACTTAAACCACAGAGAAATAGACTTGATAAATAATGATCCTCTCTGAGTGATGATACATGGAGACCAAAACTGGTAGACACATCACAGAAACACTTAAAAGCAACATGTCACAGAACCAACAGTAGACCATCCACCGGCAACACACGACTTCGTGTTATCCCAAAATGAAGATTTATAAATAAATCGAGTATGAGAGGTCTCTAGGAACTAGCTCTCTCGTCATTGTCAAGTTTGATTACATAGTGAAGCTGAAGGAATTGGTTGGACATAGACTTCCATTGAAGAAGTGATTACAGACGCGGGCACTACAACAGGATGAGGGACTATCTGTGGGAAATTCAATGGGAAAGAGAAATAGAAGGGAAGACAGCAGATGAGATGATGGAATTCCTTGCTGGGAAGTGAAGTACTTCTGCAAATAAGTAAACTGTTTCAATAGGAAATGCAGGTAAGCTAAATAAAGGATAAAAAAAAAGCCTGGAAAAAATACAAAAAGCTAGGAAGAAAGATCAATACAGAAGCACTAAAGAGAACCAGAAATAAATACAACAGAGTTAGGAGAGAGAAGCTAATTTGAGAAGCAATTTGAAAATGACATCGCTGCAAAAGTTAAGGGAACAAACTAAAGCTGTTTTATAGGAGGAAAACGACAGAGTGGGGCCATTTACTCTGAGAAAACAAGGGGAAGCTCTCACAGAAAATGATGATGAAGTATGCGAGGAACTAATGAAAGATTTAAGGAGGTCTTTACATTAGAACCAGCATGGAGAGCAACGTTGTAAGATGAAAAGCCGGACGTGAAGAGGGAAGGAATTATCAGGGGAAACCGTCAAGCCATTACGACTATATAGCTCTTGGAAGGGGATCTGGATAAGGATTTGAATGGGACGGGGGGATGTAATGATGCCCTACCACTTGGACGGTCGGGAATTGTACGCCGACCTGCACGAATCGAGACCGTCGCTCTACCATCTTTTGACACTGTTCCTCGTGAAAGACTGGAGGCAGGATAAAGAAGCAGGCTGGTATAACTGAGGAAAAACACTGGAAAAGCAGGCAAGAGAGAAGCTGAAGGACAAAAAGCAGAGACACACAGAAATCACAATAGTGTGATGCATCAAATGAACAAAATGAAGTAAGGGCGAAGAGGTAGAATGGCTTATTGACATAGCTCGAGTGCATGGGGGGAGTTGTGTAAAATCCTGGTTTGTGTCTCGGAGAGGCTGCAGGATCCAAGTAAATTCAGTAGAATTTCTGGTTGCAATTCTTATACCATGTCGTAGCTCAGTCGATTAAGGCAGCGTCTGGGATGCTTTCGGACGTTGGTTCGAATCCTCGTCACGGCTCTTGTGGATTTGATAAAAAAACAGAGTCACAGCTGCTTATAGATAGAAAACCCATAGAGGAGGTGGTTTGAAGCTGGGGGAATGCAACATTCGGGTCCCACAAGGCTCGGTCCTGGGACAGCCACTGTTACTAATTTATGTGAACGACCTGCCCGAGGGAGTGAGCTTGGACATGTCAGTGTTTACAGATAATGGAAGCTGTTGAGGAATGTTAAAAGAGGAGAATTGCAGGAATTTACACGAGGACTTAGACACTCTCCAAGAGTAGTCAAACAAATGGTTGCTGGAAGTCAGTCTCAAGAAGTGTGAGGTAATAGAGATGGGAAAGGGCGAGAGGAGACAATAAAGGTATCTACACCGTAAGGGAAAGGCAACTACAGGAATCGGAGAGAGATTTGAGAGTGGATATGACCAGACACACACACACACACACTAGAGGCACGCATAAACAGGATAACGTCAGCAGCATATGGAACGCTGGCAAATATTACAGCATCATTTAGAAAGCTAAACATGACTCCTTCAAGGCAATCTACGCAACATTCGTTAGACCAGTACTGGAATATGCAGCACCGGCATGGAATCCGCACCTTGCGAAGCATAAAGCTAAAATATAAAGAAATATGAAGGTTTGCAACAGTATTAATTGGTGTCAGAGCTAAGAGGGTTAAGCTACGAGAATACACTAATAGAACCAAATCTCACAACTCGAGAGGATAGAAGGAACAGAGGGGATATGATCACGACATACACGATGCTGAGGGAATAGATAAAGTGAACAAAAATGATTTCATCAAGTCGAGAGAAAGAACAAGAGGACGCAGGTAGAAGCTGGAAGCGCAGATGAGTGGAAGAAATTACTCGTACCCTTTACAGGGGGTCGACAAGTAGAATGCACTGAAAGGAAGGTTGTGGAAGCCACCTCCTGCCCCAACTTTACGGGCCAGATTCGATATGTAATCTGAACATCAAAATAGTTCAATTATACCGCAACGGGTTCAACAAGGCTAGTAGGTGGGGCATAAAGAGCTAAACCACACTTTCCCGTAGTCACTGATAGGTCAGGTAAGTTCCACCACCACCCCCCACCACCACCACCACACTACTACCACCACACTACCACCACCACCACACTACCACCACCACCACACTACCACCACCACCACACTACCACCACCACCACACTACCACCACCACCACACTACCACCACCACCCCCTACCACCACCACACTACTACCACAACCACCACTACACTACCACCACGACCACACTACCACCACGACCACACTACCACCACCACCCCACTACCACCACGACCACACTACCACCACGACCGCACTACCACCACGACCACACTACCACCACGACCGCACTACCACCAGGACCACACTACCACCACCACCACACTACCACCAGGACCACACTAC